CCCCCCCCCCGAAGGAAAAGGCGGGATCCGAAGCAGGGGGTTGGGTGACCCCGGGGAAGATCCACAGCGCTTGGGCCGGGGCACGGGGCGGCCCTCGGCTCATCCAAAATGCCGGCGGGCGGGAATTCAAATTAGCGCCACGCTGCCAACGCACGGTTTTGGAGAACGATCGTTTTGTGCCCCCAGGGACAAGCGTAACGCAGCCTGGGTAGAAGAGCCACCCCCGGGGGCAAATCGCCCGCCGAGCGAATTTGCATGGCTCGGAGGGAGCGGCGAGGTTGCTTGCGCATGCACGCCTGGCCGTGCCGGGCACTCTCTCGGGCGCCGGCCGACGGGCCGGGAAGCCAGGCAGGCCCACAATTAATGGGCTAGCCATGCAAAACATAACCCACAAGCAGATCGCCCCTTGCCGAGACCGAGCCACGGAGAGGTCGGCCGAGGGGGGGGGGGAGGGCGCGACATATGGTGATGGCACGCACAGAGTGTTTCACACTCCGCCCCGTGTGCTCTGGGGAGATGCCACGGCTACCGCGTCTTCCCGACGGGGGAAGGCCGGTGAGCCGGTATTATCGGCGTGCACAGCATCTCGGCCAATCAAGAGGCACACTCCAGACGGTTTTTCAGTTTCTTCCTCGCCCTCTCTCTCTCTCTCTCTCTCTCGCTCTCGCTCTCGCCTTACGCGCCCCACCCGCGCTCCTTCGCCCGCGAGACACCTTCTTCGGGCCCGTAGCATAGCCGTGTCGAGTCGCTCCATCGACGGAGGTGCTCCCTTTGCCCGGCCGGAAGGCTTGCTCTCCCCCTCCCCCTGCCCCCTCCCCCCGCTGCGTCGTGCCAGGGCCTTTCGCCGGTCAGTCCGATCGGAATGTCGCGTCTAAGAGATAGGCTCCGCTTGGGTCGGAGCCCGGCTCTTGGTGCCGGGCCCGGGGGCGAATCGCCCGCCACGCCGGCCGAAAGCAGCTCGAATGTCGGCTCTCCCCATGAGGGGCTGCGTCCGGTGGGGGCCGCCGCCACCGGGGCCGAGACAGCGCCCAAGTCCCGGAAGAAGCTCTTCGGGTCTCTCACGCCGCGCTTCCGGGAGTCCCCGGCCTCGGGGCCGACCGACCGGTCGCCCAGGCCGCCGGCCGACGAGGCAGGCGCCCGCACACAGCCACCCACCCCGGCCCCGGAGTCTGGGCCCGTGTTGCTGCAATCCCCGGCTCCGGCGGGCCCCGGCGCGGCCATGGCCATGGCGCATGATGTGGAGCCACTGCCGCCGACCCCGACGCCGCCAGGGACCTGGGCCTCGCAGCCGGCCACGCCCCAGCACCCGTATCATCCGCAACATCCCTATGCCCAGGATTACCCCCTGACAGAGGTTCCCCACATGGGGCAGGAGCAGCGGGCCTTCCCGCAGCAGCCGGCCCAGCAGTCGCACTTCCACCAGGCATTTGCGCCGCCGAATCTCCACCATCCAGTCGCCACGGGGCACTATCACCACCACCCCCCCCCCGGGCACCTCCCCCCGGCAGGCGGCGACCCGTACCCCTACGCACAGCAGCATGCCGCCCCGCCGCACTTGGCCATGCCCATGCATCCGGGACAGGGGTACCCCGCAGGGCCAGGCTCTGCGGCAAATGGCCCGATGCCCCAGCCGCCGGTGCATTTCGCCGAGGTACGCCCAGGTGGTGGGGCATCGCTCGTCGCCCGGCAGGGCCACTAACCCCGCGCTGATGCGGGCCGGAAGTACCGGTCCCTGACGGAGAGCACATACAGCCGCGAGCGCGACAGCATCCTCCGGGACCCGAATGAGATGAGCTTCGTCCGGCCGGTGGCCCTGGACGAGGAGATCGCCGCGGCGGCCGCATCCGGCCGGCGTCTGGTCGGCGGCCCGCACCCCGGCGACCCGGCCATCGGCGCCCCGGGCAGCGCCCCGGCCGAGGGGCGAAATTTGCGCGAGAAGTTCCTCGCACGCAGGACCTCCGCGCCGTTGGATGCCCTGCAGCTGGAGCCCGGCCCTGCCGGGGACCCGGGCAGCCACCCCACTTCGTATGGGCACCCTGAGGCCGGGCCCTACCCGCCATCGGGCCCGTACACCCGGCCGCATGGCATGGCATTGGCCGGGGCGGTGGAGGCGCCGCAGGCGCACCCGGCCCCACGGCCGGGCCCTGCCAATGGCGCCGGGCCCGGGCCCGGCCTCGGCCAGTGGAATCGCAAGGGGTCGCGGAGCACAGACCAACTGCTGTTGGCCCAGGTGTCGCCCCCGTCGGCCGCCCTCCCCGGGCCCGGGGGGCCCCATGCTGACGGGCAGCAGCTCCGGCTGCGGGAATTCCGCACGCGGCTGCTGTCCGGCGACCAGGACACATCCCTGGCCCCGGGGCACCGGCTGGCCGGCGATGGTGGCGGCAGTGAGGCGGCTCGCCGCGGCGCGGCCACGGTCTCCGTGGGACCCAGCGGCTACCCGACCTTCGGCGGGCCGCGGGACGCCCGCACCGGCTCCTTCGATGATCCCCTGCGGGATATGCTCAACTGGGCGGACGTCAGCCAGCGCGGGGCGGCCGGCGCGGCCGCCGCCACCGCCACCGCCACCGCCACGACCCCCATCAGCCCGAGCGCCGGCTCGTCGATCTTGTCGCCGACGGCCGGCGGCCGGGCGCCCCCGGTCCCGGCTCCATATGACCCGGTCTCCGGGACCCCCGGCGGCCCGGCCTACCCCCGGCCGGCCGCCTGCCCGGGGGAGCATCCGCTGCTCCACGAGGCGGCTCTCCTGCCCCGGGCCGAGGTGGAGCTGCTCCGCTTGCAGGACCGCTCCCCGGCGGCCTATGGCGATGGGACGGTCATTGCCGTCATCGACACCGGCATCGATCCCGGCGCTCCGGGGCTTCAGTATTGCGCCGTCCCGCGGAACTCGGCCTACCCCCGTCCACCGAAGATCATCGACATCATCGACTGCAGCCGCACCGGGGAGGGTACGTTGACCGGTGGCCTGCTCCGGGGCCCGATTTCCCGCGCCCCCTGCGGGCAAGCGCCCCCCCCGTAGCCGGGCCCGGGCCGCTGCCCCGCGCAGCCCCTGCTCGCCATTGTGCCATCCATGTCGCCGACATGCCCTGACGCTCCTCGCCCCCGGCGCGCCGGCCCCACCCCCTGCCGGGCCTTCTCCCCGCACGACCATCCAAGTCCCCCTGTCGTCGGTGGTCGAGCTGGACGCATGCCCGGCCGAGCCCGGGATCCTGGTCACCGTAGGCCTGACGGGCCGCCAGATTCGCCTGCCCAGCAGCTGGGGCCTGGCCCGGGGCAGCCCGGTGGCCCTGGGAGTGGTCCGCGCATGGACCCTCTTCCCCCGCTGGGCCGTGCGCAAGGACAAAGTACGTGGCCATCCCTCGGAAGGGGGTCCCCCCCCCCCCCCCGGCGTGCCGGGCTTGCCGCCCTCCTCCCCTCTCCCCGCGCGCGCGCGCGCGCGCAAAGCAGCCGCAGCCAGTGGCCAGAGCCCACTCGGAGACCGCCAGGACCCCTGCCCTTCTCCTCGGCCCCTCCCCCCCTGTCTGCCGCCCTTTCCATGGCAAAGGCATTTCCACTGACCGGCATCCCATTCACCGGCCCAAGGAGGACCGCGCCCGGCGCCGGACGCAATTCGCTTCGACCGTGCTGTCGGCCCTTTGCCGGCTCCGGTCGCAGGTCCGTGCCCGGGGCCGGACTCAGCGCATCGATGCCGAGGAGTTGGCAGACGCCGCGCGGCAGCTCGTGGAGCTGCACCACCTGTTCGCCAATCGCGGCGCCTCGGAAAGCGCCCGCCGGGCCGGGCTCCTGGACCCGCCGGTGCTGGGCCCCGGGGCCGGCGGGGGCGGCGGTGCCGCCGCCCCCGCCGCCGCGGCCGCCGCCGTGCCGCCGCCCGGGACACCCACCGCCGCCGAGCTCCTGACCCAGCTGGATGCGCTGGAGCAGCTGGTCGAAGCCACGGCCCCCGCCGACCCGGGCCCGATCATGGATGTTGTGGTGTTCCGGTGCTCGCGCACGGGGCTCCTGCGTGCCGTGGTCGACACCACATGCACCGGCAGCCTGCTCCAGCGCATGCCGCTGGCCAGCTTCCGTACGTGAAGGCGGCATGCCCGGGCGGGCCGCTGCCCGCGCCGACGGATGGCGCCCCCCACCGGGCAGGGCGGGCAGGGTGGCGACCGAGCGCAGGGGACACGCCGAGGGGGGAAGGGCCAGCCGGGCTGGTTGTGGGGTCTCCTCGCCGGGGTCTGCCGGTCGGTCAGGGGACCGCCTTGTCACAGGGCGGGGAAAGTGGAAAAAAAAGAAAAAGAAAAACAACCCCGTAAGCCACACGCCGCCTCGACACTAACCATCGGCCATTTGCCAGGCCACGAGCATGGCTTTTCCCAGCTGGCCCCGGCCGGCTCGGGGGACATCGGCCGCGCCATCAACTTCACCGTGGACTTCGGCGACTTCACCAGCCAGCCGAATGGCCTGGCCCCGGGGGCCGAGGCGGCCCTCTCGCCCATGACCCCGGGGCTGGCGGAGGATCCGCGGTCGCCGCTGCGGCCGGCGGCCCTGCTGGCCATGGCCACCCACCCGAGCAGCCCCACCGCCCGGCCGGGGGGGGACACCGCCGCCGGGGCCCTGGCGTCGGACCTGCCGGACACCGTGTGCCTGGTGACGGCGTCCAGCGAGCATGGCACCAATGTGGCCGCCCTGCTGGCCGGGCATCATCCGGATGCGCCGGCGCGCGGGGGCGCCGCCCCGGCGGCCCAGCTCCTGTCCCTGCGGATTTCCCCCGGCCCGGCGGCCCCGTACACCGGCCTGCAGGATGAGCCGCCGGCCAGCAGCGGCGTCTGGGTGGACGGGGTGGAATGCTCGCGCGCCGTGGCACGCGCCGTCCGCCTGGCGGTGGCCCTCGGCGCCGACATCATCAACATGTCCTACGGCGAGGAGGTCCGGTGGGGCCCGGACTGCGGGGCGACCGGGGCCGGCCCGGCCGCCGGCACCCCGGCCGCCGGGCTGTATGCCGCCTTTGCCGAGGCCCGCCGGGCCGGGGTGCTGGTGGTGTGCAGCGCCGGCAATCGCGGGCCGCTGATGGGGTCCTGCGGGGCCCCGGGCGGGGCCTACGGCGCGGCCACCGTCCTCCCGGTGGGCGCCTACCTCAGCAGCCAAATGCAAGCCCTCACCCATGAGGCCGTCACCTCGGAGCTGAACATGTGCTCGCGGCCGGCCGGCCCCGGGCCCGGGCCGGGCATCTACCCGAAGCTGGCCGCCTCGCCGGGCCCGGAGCCGGACATGGACCCGGACGACCCGATGGCCCGGCTGCTGGAGCTCGAGCGCGCGCACCTCAGCCAGGCCACCGTGCCCGGGAGCCCGGGCTGGGAGGAGGACTTTGCCCAGCAGTGCCGCGATGGCCTGGCCCCCGGGGCGGTCTTTCCCTTCACGGCCACCGGCCCGGCGGCCGGCCCGCAGTTTGCCCAAGGCCCGGGCGTGGTGGCCCCGGGCATGGCCCTGGTCGGGGCCGGGCGCTATGGGCTCCTTGGGCCCGGGGCCTCCAATGCGGGCCTGCTGCTGCGCGACCCGCTCGGCACCACCGGCGGCTTCTTGCTGAAGAGCGGCACCTCGATCGCCGCGCCGCTGGTGGCCGGGGCGGCCGCCTGCCTGATCAGCTTCGTGCGCGGGACGCCCGAGCTGTCGGCCGGCCGCGGCGCGGGCGCCGGGCCCGATCGCCACCTGCAGCCCGGGTGCGCGTGCTCCGGCCGCGAGGCGGCCAACACCCATGGCCTGTTCGGCCGGCCCCGGGCCCCGGGCACCTGTGGCGATGCGCACGGGCGGCGGCGCTGCCCGCGTGAGCGCGTCCTGCCGGCGGTCCTGCGCCGGGCTCTGGAAAACACCGCCCGGCCGGTTCGAGGAGCTGAGGTGCGTGCGCCCGGAAGACGGGGGGCGGGGGGCGGGGGGGGGGGGGGGTGCCGCCGGCCGCACTGCTCGCCAGGCGCTGCCCTGCCCGCCCTGGCCGGTGGCACAGGGAGCAAGGGGGCCGGCCGGGGAAGAGGCCACCCGTCCGGTGGTGGGGGCAGCCCCGACATGCGGGAAGACGTTGTGGCCCTCGCGCCGGTCCTCCCCGGCCCCTCCCCCCCCCTCCCGTGGGCATGGCCGCCCTGTGGCAGCAGCCAGGCCGAAGGATCTGTCACTGACACGAGAAATATCTCCCCCCGCCTAGCGTCTGTCCCAGGGATGCGGCTTGATCCGTGTCGACCGGGCGGCCGAATGGCTGCTTCAATTCGTCCGGCTGGGCTGGCATGTACGTGGTTTTGTCGCGGCAAAAGCCCCCGCCCTTTGGGCCAAGCCCCAGGGAGACGGCCTTCGCCGGGCCCCTCCCACCGCGCCCCTCCCCTGACGCGTGCCGGCCCGCTGACGGACACACACACACACACACACGCGCGCGCGCGCGCGCGCAGCCCCGCGAGGCGATCATGACACTGCCGGACCTGCGCCACGCACGATCCTTGGTTTTGCGCCTGCCGCCGACCAGTGCCGACCTCCTGGGGCCGGTGCGCCATCGCGTCCGCCTGGCCGGCGCTGGGGCCGACCTTGCCGGGCATGCCGAGCCGCAGGAGCCCTTCTTGGCGGCGCAATCGTCGGCCGCATGGGTGGTCGTGCCGGAGCGCATCCGTCTCCCCGGCCCGGGGACCGGAGCCACGGACGCCGTGTTTGACATTGTTGTCGATGCCAGTCCCCTCGGTGCGTCTACCCGGCGGCGGTTTTTTCGGGGTTTTTTTTTTTTGCATCCCCGGCTGTCTGGCCCCGAGCAGAAGGCCGGTCGGAAGGCGGCGGAGGAAGAGCACACCTGCAAGCGCCCGGGTCGCATCCCTACGCGCGCCCTTCCCCAGCCCTCGATGTGGCTTCGCACTGTTGCTCACCTCCGGGGATGCCCCTTCGCACGCACACACACACACACACACCAGCACCGGGCCTCCACTCGGCCGAGGTGCTGGTTTTGCCGGGCACGCGGCCAGGGCCGGGCATCCAGCACGGGCCCCTTTGCCGGCTCCTGATTTGCATTGCCCGGTCGCGCTCGCTGCTGCCGCCGCCGCCGGCCGCTCTGGCCGCGGCGGCCGCCGCCTCCGCCACCTCACCCGCTGGCGGCCAGGCCACGGCCCCGGTGTCGCCGGAGGGCATTGGCCCACCCGGTGGCGCCCTGCCCGCCGGGGGGCCGAGCATGACACCGGCCGCCGGCCAGGGGCAGCCATCTGCCACGGCATCTGCCGCAGCCGCCGCCGCCGCCGCCGCCGCAGCCGCCGCCGCCGCCGCCGCCGCCATGCCGGACCAGGGGCAAATCCTGCGTGATGGCTTCTGTCTGGGCACCCGACGCGTTACCTCGCGTAAGCCCTGGCGCACATTCCTCCAAGTGCCGGCCGGGGTGTCCGTGGCCCATGTGTACATCCGCGTGTCGCATCCATCTCAAAGCGAGGCCCCGGCCGCCAGGGGTTCACCCACCGGCGAGGCTGGGGCTGCCGCCGCCGCCGTCGGCCATGCTGCCAGCCTCGGCGGGCGGATCCCCTTTATGGCTCGCGGCCGCCGGCTGCCCAGTGCCAGCTCCCTGGCCACGGCCCCGGTGGAGGCCTTCCTCCCGGCCGGCGGCCGGGGCCCAGGCACCGGCCGCTCGGGCGCCGGCCAGCAGCGAGCAACCCTCCTCGTGGCCGGCGGCTGTGCCGACGACTCGGACCACACGGTCTCGCAGCTGCACCGGCACCTGGTGTGTCTGGACGACTTGCCGACGTCGCCGCCGCTGGCCGCCACCGGCCCGGCCGTCGCCCCGGAGGCCCCGCTACGCTACGTGGCTCCGATGCGCGTGACCGCCGGCTCCGTGTGGGAGCTATGCATTGCCCGCGCCACGCAGCACTCGATGAATGGCATGAGCGGCCCGGACGCCGATGCCTCTTCCTCTTCGCAGCCGCACCAGCCGCAGCCGCCAGCCGCCACACAGGACGAGGAGGGCGGCCCGGCGCCCGCCCATGGCCGGCTCAGCCTCCTGCCCCCGTGCTACCTGATCACAGCCGGGGTGGACATCGAATTGGTGGTCCGCTTCGGCGGAGCCCACCCCGAGTGGGACCAACCGACCCATGGGCACCACATGGGGTCGGCAGCATTCAGCCTGACGGCCGGCCGGCTGCCGGCTCAGGGCTTCCGGCACCTGCGCATCCGGGGGATTGGCGTGCGTTTTCGGTCACTTGCTTCGGGGGGGGGCGGGGGGGGAGGGGGGAGGGGGGGGGGGGCCTTCCTCTTCCCCTCATGCTCGCCATTTCCCTTCGCTCCTCCCGCCCTTGGGCCTCTCGCCATGGGCCCCGCCATCGCATGGGGGTGCCCACTTTTGCTCTCCCACCGGCGGCACCCCCCCGCCCCCCCGGGCGGCCTGAGAGTGGACACCGCTTTTCCCCCCGGCGCCCGAGCACCCATGCTGACATGCTCCCCCGGCCCCTTGGCCACGTTCTTCCCGCTTGGCAATGTGCCAGTGCGCGGACGCCATCCTGCCTCGAGCAAGCCTCCACCATGCGGCCTGGATTTGTCACCCGGCAGAATGGGAACTGGCGCGCCTGCCAGCCGGCCTGGACACACTGCCGGGCGGCACGGCCGGACACTCGCCCGCGCTGCCGGCCACCGCGCGGCATGATATCTCGCCACGCGGCATGTCCACGCCCGACATGGCCCCCCTACCGCCACAGCAGCAGCAGCAGCACCACCACCACCACCACCAGCAACAGCAACAGCCACATGGAGGGAGGCTCCAAACGTCGGGTGGCAACATCTGGCGACTGACGCTGACCTACTTGCTGGATCCCTGCCGGTCGCCGGCTCTCGAGCCCTGGCGGGAGATCTCCCTGCCGGGCCTTGGCGGGCTGCTGTATGAGGCCATCCAAGCGACGGCCGATGTCCCTGGCACCTCCACGGCGCACGGGCCCAAGGGCGGTGCGGCCGAAGGGCGTGCCCCCCCGGCGATCGACCTGCTCCCGGGGATTCGAATGTCCGTCAGCGATGCCGCCAGTGGCCTGCTCCTCTTCACCTGCTCGCCGGCCCAGCCGTGCATCCTCAAAGTCCTGGGGCCGCCAACGCCGGCCAGCTCCCCCCCAGGGCCCGCCCCCCTGCTGGGGCTCCGGCCGGTGGGGGCCCTCCCCTATGAGCTGGCCCACTGGCGCATCCGCGTGGAGGTGGAGTCCTCCTCGCGGCGGATCCTCCGCCAGCTGACGGACTTGCATTTGCGCATGGCCGCACCCTTGGCCCGGCCACTGCGGGTCGGGTGCTGGAACACCCCGACCGAGGCTCTCTTCTCCGGGAAGTCTGACGGTGCGAGGAGCCTGGCCGCTAGGGCCGGGGGGGGTGGGGGGGGGGGAGGGGGCTAGAGAAGGGAGATGCCTGGTCTCATGGGGGCGGCATTTGATGGTCATCCACTCGGGGAAACCATTTCAGAGGGGAGGCGGGCCGGGGCCGCGAGGCATGCGCGCATGTGCAAGCGTGCTCCATCGACATACCCCACCACACACACACACACACACAAACACACATGCTCGGGATCAAGCCCACACTTCCACTGACACCCTCTCCCACTGGTGCCATTCAACTGATGCCACGCGCGCACGCGCGCGTAGCCGGGGTCCCCCGTGCCTTCAATGGCAACCGCCCAGTTCGCCTGCCCCAACCCTCGGCCTATCAGTCCCTGTCGCATCGGTCGATTTCACTGTACCTGTCCCTGACGCACTTGCGCGGGGGCGCAAGCGGTCGCCCGGGCAGCATGAATGGCCAGGCCCGGGGGAACTCACGCGCTGGGCACATGTCTCCGCGCGGCGGGGACCCATCCGACACGGGGGCCGGCCCGGATCCCGCCACCGCCCCGACCACTCTCGAGGCGCTGGCGGCCCAATTGCCGGCAGGGTGCCAGCTACTTGGGGCCATTCGGCTGGATGTCTGCCCATCGACCGTGGGGCATGGCCAGCAGCGTGGCCCCGGGCCGGCGCGCACCCTGGCCGCCGAGGAGCAATTCTCCCCCAACCTCGGCGCATTGCCCTCCAGCAGCTCCGACATCGAGCTCCCCATGGCGGCCGGCGCCTTGGACCCGGGCCACTTGCCCAGCGGGGATGATGCCCCCCGCCGGCCGGCCGGAGGAGGCACGCCCCGGGCATCACCATCCTCGAGGTACTTCGACTTCTCGCACGACGACCTGGACGAGCGCTGGCATGCGGCCGGGGCTCCAGCCAGTCAAATCAGCTCGGCGCGCATCCGCGGCATCCAGCCCATCCCCATCTCCATGTGCCTGGATGAAGTCGCCCCCGCCGGCTGGGGCACAGGGGCCGCCGGCGTGGCCGGCCAAACCCCGACGCCGGGCTGGCTGCACGAGACGCTTGACGCCATCGAGCCGGAGGGCCTTGCTGCCCGGCAGTTGGCCGGCCTCCTGGCCTCGGGCGAGGCCCCTAATGTCGAGGAGGCCACGCAGCTGCTGGAGATGTGGGCCTCGGCACGGCGGTGGCCTCCGGCCCCGGCGGGAGGCCCGCCCAAACCCCCCGGCCCGGCCGCCGACGCGGCGATCCCCATCCTCGAGCACAAGTTGAATGCCCTGACACAGCGCAAAGCCTGGGCGGCCATGGAGGACACCTCCCCCGGAGGGCTGGCCTTTGTGCTGGCCCTGCTGGCAGATGGCCAACTGAGCGTGGCTCTGGCTCGGGGCCAGCCGGGCCGAGCGCTGGCCCTGGTGCGCCTGCTGCTGGTCCTGCACCACGCCTGCCAAGAGTCCCTGGCATCGGCCGTCGTGGCCTTGGCACCGGCCATTGGCGGGACCTTCGGACCGGCGGCCTCGGCCGAAGCGGCCGCCGCTCACAAACAACAGCACCAAGCGGCGGCCCCCGGGGGCGGCATGCGCCGTCGTGGCACCGGCGATGATGGCGGTGGCCCTGCCTGGGAGGCACTCTTTTGCTGGCCCGCTCGACCGGTGAGTTGCCTGTTGGCCACGCGAGCCCGGCTGGTGGACCTGGCATGCACATCGCTGGGCCTCGGCCGTGACGACGCCGGGCCCGATGCCAGCGGCCTCCGGCCTCCGCCACACACCGCCGGGACTGCTGTGCTGACCGACCATCGAGCTCTGAGGCACATGGTCCTCGCCCAGTCGCAGGCGGCCTGCTGCGGCGGCTGCCACGCTGCTCCGGCTGCAGGATCCTGACACACTTGCCAGGCAGTCGGCCTTTCTGTTTTTCCCCCTCCCACGGCCACCATCCAGCGGCCCGGTGCCTTTCCGAGGAAGCATGCAAAGTCGGAACAACCGCAGAACACACACCCGAGGAGTCCAAGCGGCAGCCGAACGACCGAGGGGGACAACCGCCGGGCATCTGGCTTTCGTCCCCCCCCGCCCCCCTGTGCACCCACGACATCCTCCGTCGGCATTAGGCTGAGACGTCCGGGACGTGGCCTCCGAGAAAATAGACATCATCGTGAGCCGGTGGAGCATGTGCGCCCTCGCGGGAGGGGAGGAGGAGGGGAGACCGGAGGGACAGAGGCCCGAACCATGGCAGGACTCCTGCCAGAGGGGAAGGCGGCCGCGAGAAAGACATGAGCAAGCAGTGGGGGACAGGCACAATGCCTTTTCTCCCGTTTGCTCGTGCATGCCCACATGCAAAGGCGGGTGTGCGTCCCCGCCCGTGTGCATGAAGAAAGGACGCTAGCCTGGGCAGCCGAGGGGCGAAAAAAAAAGGAATGTCTAACATACACGTGGACGTGGTTTATTTTTGCCTGGGCCGTGTGTGGAGGGCCGTCTTCTGGAGGATAGAGAGGGAGAGGAGCAGAGAGGGAGACGAGGGGGCAGCGCCTGTCGGCCCCCTGTGTCCCACCACCTGCACGCTTCCCGGTGAAAAAAAAAGAGAGATGTGTCCATGCATACGGGCGTGACGCATGGATATCGGGGGCAGGGGGGAGGTGCAAGTGTGTGTGCGTATGCAGTATGGGGTCATGCGCGCGCGAGATGAAAGATGGGAGGGGGCTCCGCTTGCTGCTGCTGCTGCTGACGATGCCCCCCTCGCCCGCTGTCGCTCTTTTTGTCGCGCGCCGTGAAGGAGAAGATGCACATAGCAACATGGCCGCGGCATTCACACGCCGATGCACACAGCGCCGCCGCAGGAAAATGCACTTACTCGAGCACCACATAGTTGGCTGGAAAATGCGCAGACATGGCCCCACGCGAGGCAGACAACATCGAAGGGTGGGGAAGAAATGCAACCATGAGGAAACATTAGCAAAAAAGGGGGGAGGGGGGCGAGGGGAGCAAGGCGAAACAGAAAGGGCACTCTTCCGGCGGGGGAGGGAAGAGGCGGCCACCATAGCCCAACGGCAGGAGCGCATACAGGAGCAATGACAAAAGGCAAGGAGCAGAGGGCAAACCGAAACGCACCAGGGAAAATGCCAGACTGGCCGTTGTCCAGGCGACCGGTCCACCAGTCCTCCTGGGAGGGTGTCCGCTTGATGATGGCAATGCGCTGGCCCGAGGTGAAGGACAAATCCCCCGGGGTGTCAGACTGATAGTCGTAAGCGGCATGCGCATAGCAGATGACATCCGAAGCCCGGGCAGTCGGGGAGCGCGGCAGCGACGGCGGGATGGAAGACGGGATGGCGGGACTTGAGCGAGCCGCCGGCGGCGCGCTGAACCCCGCGGCCCCGGCGGCCGGCGGGGCACCAAAGCCCGAGGCCCCGCCGGTCGGCGGCGGACCGAAGGAATCGGCCTTGGAGGACGCGCCGGTCGGCGATCCGGGCGGCGATCCGGCCCCACCGGTCGGGCCCGGCGGGCCGCCCGGCGTGCCCGGCAGCGGGACAGCCACCGGCAGAGACGGATCGATGATGCGGGCATTGAAGATCCGAATGTCGACCATGCTCTCGAGGACCGGGGCCATGCTGTCCTTGTAGGTGTCCTCCAGAGCCGGGTCGCCGAGATCCAACTCATTGCTCATCGGGTACATGAGGTTGGTGATGTCGTTGAAGAAGCCGAACTGGAAGCGCACAAGCATCTCGATGACCGGATCCATGAAGGCCACACGCATGTCATACAGCAGCGGCACCTCATTCTTGCACAGCTCATTGTAGTAGTCATACTGGGCCTTTGCCTCGTTGTAGTTCTGCTCGGCACGCAGCATGTCCGAGGGGTTGGAGTTCTCCTTCTCCTGGGCCTTCTTGAGGGCCGTGTAGTACCGGTCATAGTCTACATGCTTGCGATTGCGCTTGTCGATGGTCGACCGAGCGGCCTTGACAATCTCCATGAGCTCCTCGCAGGGCTTCACGACAACCGCCTCAAGGGAGTCGAGCTGCGGGCGACCGGATGATGGGGGGCAGGCAGTTGCCCGGGTTGGAAGGAGGATAAGGGCGGTGTGTGAAGAGGGGGGGGTGAGTCAGACGATGGAGAGGGAGAGAGACAGAGAGAGAGAGAGACAGAGAGAGAGAGACAGAGAGAGAGAGACAGAGAGAGAGAGAGAGAGAGAGAGAGACAGAGAGAGAGAGAGAGAGAGAAAGAGACAGAGAGAGAGAGAGAAAGAGACAGAGAGAGAGGAGCAGAGGGATGAGAGCAAGGACTTTGAGGCGGCCTGATAGACGGAGGGGGAGGTGCAGTTGGGTGGGGAAAAAACCCGACCACAAGTGGGCGTGGTAGAAGCACCGGAGCGTACCATGATCTGGAGCTGGCGCTCATTCCAATCCTTCGACACGCCCACATAGGAGGCGATGGACTGGGCATTCACCGAGGTGGAGGCCAGCTGGGGAGACTGCTCGGCCGAGCTGGCAGCCGCCGCACCAACGCGCGAGGAGACCGGCGCAAAGACCTGCTCGAAGGAGGTGCCGATGGCGGCCTGGTGGTTAAGCAGGCCCTGAACGGCCCTCTGGAAGGCCTTCGTGTCCTCCTGGAGCTTCTTGGCGGCCGACTCGAAGTCCTTGAACAGGATTTCGATCTGCTCGAAGTCAGGATCGTGGGTCTCTATGTGTGTGTGTGTGTGCGGAAAGGGGGGAGGGGGGTCAACGACAGGAGTGGTAGGGAGAGGTCAGTAGAGGGAGTGGTTGCACAGGAGTGGGGAACATGTGTCTGACAGAGGCGGAGAGACGGAAGCAGGGCAGGAAGATGGGCAAGTGCGCACCCTCAGCGTAGCCGGCCTTCTGCAGAACGCGCTGCGGGAGACGGTTGACGGCCTTGGTGAATCCCTTCCTGTGTGTGTGTGTGTGTGCGTGTGTGGAGCGGGTCAGCAACCGAAGTGGTGACATGGGAGGGGGAAGAAAACCCGACAGACAGCCGGAGGGGAAACGGACCAGCTCATGGCGGCGAGGTGAGGCAAGGAGTGGCGAGACGCGGACGGATGGAGGAGGGAAGTGGGGGAGAGGGAGAAGGAGAGAAGGGGAGGCGGGGGGGGGGGAAGCAGGGGAAAGGGGGAAAATGGATGAGGGGCAAATCGGGGAGAGGAGCCTGAATGGATGTCGCCGCGACCGGGCGGCAGCCAGGTCGGATCGTCAAATGGGGTCCGCGTTTCGGACCGTCGCTCCGCGCCCCCACCCACCAAAGAGCCGTGTTTGCCCCGCGCCGGGCCGCGCCGCGCCCAGCCTCTCAGGGGCCGGATCGAGGTCGCCGGCCGCCCCCCACACCCCAGACACCAAGAACTGACAAGGCAACAGTTGTCACCATGTTTGGCCTGGGATAAAATATGTATTTTCTAGTGGCATATGTTGTAAATGCACATGCCCTTGCTCCCTTCCCCCCCCCCAGGCACCCCCCTCGGGGCCGCCTTGGAGAGTTGCTTGCCCCCAAAAGAGGCGCCGCTGATGGCCCACAACCGCCCCGCAGGGGGCCCACACCCAGATCGGGCACATTCTCTGGTAAGTTAGGCAGCTGGAAGCCAATTTCGCGGGCTCATACAGCCGATCCGCCCTCCTTCGTCCCCCGCCCCGCCCCGCCCCGTCCCGCCCCCCGGGTTGTATCATCGGTCTGCTGGAGTTAACGCGCTTGGAGTCTTGGCGTCTGGAGCGGCAATTTCGGTTGACTAACCCCGTTCCGCCCGGCCGGCCCTTCGTCGGCCCTGGCCCCCGAACGGGGTGGATGGTTTTCCGCCCCC